TATTATTACCGCACGTTATTCGTAGAAAGCTTCTGTTTCAGCTACTTACGCCCGTAATCATTCTCGGCGTGAATAAGGGCATCGTAGCGCTTCTTAGTCCAAATGTTGGATAAACAGATATCATATATAATGGGGACAGGCAAATGCCATTCGTCTCATCTAGAAAACGTATTGTGGTACCTGTTTTTGTTTTTGTTTTTGTTTATATATTGTTGCTGTATAATATCTATCTGAACAGCCTTACTTTGTTGAGTACTTTTTGTTTCATCACGTTCACATGTATCAACGGCACGACGTTGAAAGCGATGCATAAATTGGGACTCGTCTATTGACCGCTATCCTTTATGTTACATGCAATTTGCTAAGGAAAATCATTACATAGATGATTAGTGTTTTAAATGAAGCTGGTTATAGATTGTTGTTTAGAGGTAGCTAAGTGTTTTTGGTCAAACGTGTCTATTTTGAGAGTATGGTACTTACTGTAAGAAGTAAAGCCTGCATATTAAGAATTCGTAATTTAAATTAGGAAAGTAACTTGGTTTTTTTTTTAATCCAAGAGCTTAAATATAGCTCTCGGGTCGAAAAACATCGAAACAAATTCTCTTTCCTTAGCTGTACTAATGCTGTTATCATCTGTGGAACTTATCCTGTTTCAAACAGGCGAGAGCGTTTAGGGAGCAGTTTCGTCAAAGCGTCTATAGAGATTATCGGCTTTTTTATGCAGGCGTTCAAAAGATGTTTCCAATGTTCGCCCTCTGTTTGAGAATACTAGTGAGTATCGAGTACAGTGCAAATCGAACAATTTATAATATCTATAAATAAAATAAGGCTGAGCTTCCCAACGGGACTGTACAATACATCTGTGAAGACACTTCATGCTCAAAAATGACGACTATGACATTCATCATATAATAAGGTATTTATCAGTGTCTAAATTGGGGCACAGGAATGTTCAACTAGATAAATTTAATTCAATCTCGACCTTGTTCGAGACGATTAAAGGCCGAATATCGTCGATGATACAGTGGCCGAGCACAAGTTTATCTATTTTCCCCTTTTTAATGGAAGCAATAAGTTAACAAGTCACGCACGTGCACCTCAGGGGCAGAAATAAACCGTACTGCTCAACAAAAACAACAGAGCCAACCCCCAAGAACAAATTACCACGAATTGCAGAAGCAATTTTTTCATAGTAATAGGGGGGTCGCTCTTCGTCGTTTCGCCGGGCGCTGCTGCTCTTAAATTGCCCTGTTCTTATTGCTCTTCCCCTGGCCGGTTCTCTTCCTCGTTCAGTGTGATAGGTTTTATACAGGAGTTGTTTCTCTTGCAAAGGCTTTCTGGTTTATGCTTCTGTTAGAGTAAGAAGTATGCTGACCGTCTGTTGCCTCGTTCGAGCGAGTTCAAATGGAAGTTTCTGTAAAGACAAACCTACTACCCCCTTCACCTAGAGGAAAATGTGCCTTCTAGCAGATTGGGTACTGGTAATTCTTAGTAGACGCTGTGAGCTTCGAGACGAAAAATTACCCAAAATATGTCTATACATATACTGAGAGGTCGTCACATCAATGCCCAGTGTGTATTTCACGTTTTTTGCACCGCAGCAAAATTGCCCAGTGCGTTAGCTTTACCTACGAAAGACTACATCGCGCATCCGTCTATTTTCATAAAGCATTTGAGATTAGATTGATGCCGTTAACGTTACAGTCAATCTCATCGTTCTGACTATAATCGTGGTCATCATCTGGACGTACTGTTAGATTAGGGATAGGTATACGGTCTTCACTGAAATCCGCGGTGAAGGCAGCGGACCTGCCATCAATCTTTGCCTATTCATCTGCCGCTGTTGCGATTATCGCTGTTGCTAGAAGTATTGCTGCTATTTCTATGGTAAACTAATCCGCGTACGAGTGCAGTTGTCTCTGTCCCTGCTTACTCCGCAGTGGTCGACGTTACGTGGACATTATGCGAATGTGATGACCGTCCTACATCACGATCCATCATGGCGCAGAAGTTCGGTCAGCGATTGGTACAACGTGGATGTTTCCTTGTTTCGTCTGATGATCTGTCGGATCTGGTTCGAACATGCGATAATACTTGTGCGTTTCTCACTACGACTGGGGATCAGCAAACTTCGAAGAAGGGGCAAGAAGGAATAGGGCGTGGAATTGCGAATGAGATGAGTTGGAGCTTTGAGCTGGCAATCCAACCAAAGCTGCGGGATCTAGCACGCCAGGACGCCCAGGGGAGTCTTTGGCTTCAAGACGGGTGTCCATAGGATGCGCAGGGGGTGGTTGAGAGTTGTTACGAGAAGCCGCGCCTCACTGAATATTCGAATTGGTGATGAATATTTTAATAACAGCATGCCCTGTAGTCGATTTACTACGTTTCCATAACATCGTTCGTCGCTGGGGTCTTAGGGAACGAAGGCGCGCAACATGCGTAGCGCAGGCCGGCGGTCATGTGGCAGGTACTGCAATGAAACATCAGCGTAGTTCGCGCTGTGCACTGATCTCTTGAGTTTAGTTCATATTCAAGCAATGAGGGATTGAATGCGGAGGTATTGCAGTTCGCGTTACCGCGCTATAAGGATAACATGTATAGTTACAATATTCGTAGCCCTCAGTTTAGATTATTTGTTTTCCATTTCAGTCGATTATTTGACAAATTGTTTTTTTTTGTCTCTCCTATTGTAACCATCGTTTCTGCTTCGGCCGAAAAATAGAAACACAGGAACACTGTCCAATACAATACGAGAGATGATTCTATCTTTTTCGGTTTTCCGGCGGGAAAATTGGCTAGGAAAGCCAAAAAAGACAGATGAAGTAGCTGTACACAGGCAATGATCCAGCTACCATTATCCCTCAATAGGAATGATGGTATAGGAGGAACAGTGGAAAAATGAGGAAGAAGGTGTGTCTTTTTAGTCACTCTACCTATTCAAAATGAATAACTGAAGGAGCTCGGGCCAGCTTAGATGTATATTCATATCTGGGCTGTCTGGGGAGTTGTAACAGGAGAAAGTGGGCGACAGAAAAAAAATCGGGCGGAAAGCTTCCACTTCTTCTATTTCTGCTGCTGGTTCTATTTGAAAAATTCAATAATTTGTCTTACAAAGCGTTCCATTTAGTGAATAGAGATATAGAGGTGAGTTTCACCGATGTCATCGAGCTAAAAAAGACTGGTAGTGTCTAAGGTATAGACAGGAAGAAGTATGTTTGCCAAGGTCGACGGATAGTTTTGAACGCTGTTGCCGAAGTGGAAGAGGAAGAATTAAATGGTCGAATCCATCGTATGTAAGGCGTACGGTTTGCAAAAGTGCTAGGGAGTGGTGGGTAAATTGTTAAACCTGGGCAAGACATAAGTTCACGGGTTTAGGTGTGTCCCGCACATAGTAAATCCAAGCTTCTAAACTGAGAGACGGGGTGAAGAGCGTAAGTGCTAAACTGGGGGTTGAATGGTATATAACCTAAAATAGTAGGAGTGGTAAACGGAACAGCTTGATGGCAATCATACAGCAGAAACATTGACTCCAAGGATGACAGAAAGGAAAGAAAAGGGAAACAGAAGGCGGACAAACCTTACTGTAGCACCACCATACAAGGGACAGCGAAGGAAGACGATTCGTTTCCGTCGATGAGCGACTGGCCGTGGTGGTGCATACGTTATCCACGGTCGGCAGGATCAACTGACCGACGATTCTGCTGCAATAGTTAAGCCATTGTGCACATATATGTCGACATGACTTCATAGACACTTCTGGATGACCGACTGCTGGATTAACCTGGCGGGCAAGTATCCCGTCTCGACACCAACCGAACACCGCACAGTTAGCTGTCTATAATGTATAGTGTGAATAAATGCACTTTTTCTTTGTGTGCGTAATTTTATCATATCACAATAAAGGTACTTTGCCCTAGCTTTGGCAGTTTGGCAAGCTGGAGAGACTCATCATTTCCAATAAGTCATACAAGCAATGTGATTAGCGGGCCATGGACGGCCGCTAGGGACATATGAGAGCATCACTGCTCAATGTGGCACGCGTTTCGTGCACCGAACAAACTGTGCACACGAGCATTCTGATATGGCTCCTTGGTTCAGTCCTTAAAACACGAGCCTAACAGTTTAGCCTGCACTCCGTAATGCAGGCTCTTGTTTAGTATTTTGATGACCAAGTTGGCCTAAATGCTTGGGAGTTTAGTGAGCTTGCTCGGTACATGATAATAATGATCAGGACTGCCTTTGACGGAGCGGGGCATGATAAGCCGAGAGCAGAAACATTTGCTTCTGTGGAAACCTGCTATGCTGAAACTATGCTGAAAAAGGATAATTAAAAGTGTATGGATTAGAGAATAGACAATATCTCAAACTCTGTACCTCATCTCTGGTTCGTTTTGCTCGCAGTTTGTACAAAATTTCACTGCGCGGGCGACATGATGGGGTCAGAGCAAAGCTGCGAGCCGGTAAATCGTCAGTGGCAATGTCAGGAATTTTCGCCAGGGTACGATAAAGGAAGGAGCTTTGTGGAACGAATTCGATTTGGACGATCGGCGCGCGCGCGTGATACTACTATCTTGTGTACTGACGGCGTTCCAATGGACTTCGTCAATCTCACAATTTGTCATTCCGCTTAAAGGTTGACAACTCGAATCATGGCTCGCCGAAAGTTTCCTGTCAAACAAAACGCAGTAAACATCCATTTAGAGGGATTCGATGTGTATGCACACCACACATTATGAATTCTCATAGGATTCTCTAACGTATTATCCGCCGTATTATCCGTCTTACGCCAAGAGGCGCTTAACTTCGCGTTAAAACTATAATCACTTATAAAAGCCAACTCTGTGACAGTGTTCAACCGATAAATGAGCCGCGTTTAAACAATAGACATTTCTATGCTTTTATATGGTTCTAATCTGCGATCTCGACTGTCGCGCTTAAGCTTATAACAACGCCTAATGCTTAAATTAATTAAATTAAATATTAATGTTCTTAAATTTCAGTCTATCACAGCCTCCGCTGGACTTCGCTAGGATGGAACAACTTGCGGCACCCTTCATGGTAAGTAGCAGTCACGGCTGAGGCGTTCACATACAAGCATATAGTATAAACATTAGTAATATTAACAGGCATTGTTAAGAGTGCAGTTTCAATAACAATTACTATGATTGTTGAAACGGCTATCATAGCGATAGTAGGTTATCACGCCAATTTAACATGTACACGAATTCGCATTCGAGCTTTACATTGCGTACATGTTGCTACAACTTCAGTATGACACGCCACTCCGTGGCAGTCATACACATATATAGGTCATGGAGGATACAGAAAACGAAATTCGATAGAACAAATAATGAAGGAAATGTTAACAGCGCGCAATTTTTGTTGTTTTGATGTCAAGCCAAGCCTACCCCATGTGTTCACCCTGGTCCTACGATTGGTAAAGGTATATGGATGAATATATGAGGGTAGGTAAGTGAAAATACTTAGTTGGGCAGGAACGACTGATCCATAAATGATTACTCAGAATCCTACGTTGCCTGTTACGTCGCCATCGTCACCAGCGCCAGCAGCCACAAAGAGACTTATTCTCTATTGGGTATGCGCTGGGACTGGGGAGGAGGCTGAGTGCGTTTCGTACGGACGGCACGCCATGGCAAAGTCGGTTCGAGTCGTTGTTGTCATCGCCATCCTTCTTTGTCACTTTCCGCAGCAACAGCACAGAAAATCAATCATCACTGCACAGCTGCTTTAAATCGCAGTGGTCTTCTGGTGCAATTCTAAACCCGCGTCCCCCGCGCGCGAACCTCTTCCATTCGCTGAATCCTACGAAGAGATATGTAGCTTTCGATTTGAAGGGTCTTGTTCCATCCTATCCAATTTCTCGTTGTTCTACTTTGCCCATATCCACTTCGCTTTTTGTGAAGTTCATCGTTTTGTTTCTCGTTTGGGAGAAGCAATCTTATTTTTATTACAGAAAGAGCGTGCGCACGAGAGAACGAATTGGTTAGGTCTTTTTGCCACAGTCGCGGCGGCATAATTATGTTCCTAGCCAATCGTGTCGATGCCGACTGGCGAATTTTTTCTGTGATATCGTTTGTGAGAACTGTAATACGTAAATGAATAATTGATGAAGGCCTGGTAGAAACTGGCTACAACTTTTCTGACCTATACGTGGTTTATTTGTACATCTTGTACGCCTTTGTGCACACATTAAATCCCTAAACTAACTGGCCGTCCATTGTTTTGAATGAATTTTGTATGAGGCAATATTGCGCATGTTGGCAGTGATTCATATGAGCTACAATTCAGCAGCTCCTATATTCTTGGCGTGCTTTATTTTGTTATGATTACTTCATGGAAAATGCAGTTTATACCTAATATTAGGAAGAAGCAACGCACATTTTTACATCCTATATGCCTAACGCTAGCCTTAACGTATGTTATATAGGTAGTGAATGAAGAAGATCACGGCGTGTAAATGATTGACAAAATACGCTCATAATCCGCCTGCAAGAAACAGGTGACGTCTTGACTTTAATTGTGTTATTGATGTCAGCTGAGTCTATCAAACAGGACCGCGAAAAAGTCCTCACCACAGCTGTAGATGCTTGCAGGTGTTACTGAATGTTCAAGCACGATGTATTTCCGATAGAAAAATGCTAGCTGGAAATAAAGGTTTAGTTCCAAGAAAAATAGTATCGAACGAGAAGGCTCGACAGGTAATATCGCGATAGAAAGGTTTCCGGCTTAGGACGCACAAAAAACCTACGTCTCAAACCGCATACACTTGAAGTTTTGTGATACTGTTGTTAGTTCGTATCAGGCCTCCGTGCGATTGAGCTCTATTAGCGAGGATATCACTACGCTCATCGCCCTTAATTGATGCGAAATACTCCATATTACGTTATGAGCAGTGGACTTTCAACGGTGATCTAATATTTCACATACTGCATAAGTATTCCTCATCAGCTCGATGATCATCACGAAGTCTTAATTATTTTGGTTACATTTTACATAAATGCTACATGTATGTATGTATCGTCAGTGTGGCTTTAAGCATTTTCTCTAAGACATAACCTAAGAAGATCCACCGGAGAAAATCCGAAGTGTCCACTGGATTCTATGACCCACATACGTCAAATGTGGGGAAATAATTTTATCGGCTTCTTTATTTTTCATTTGTTCAAACTGAATCTCACGCATTTTTGTTGGATCATTATTAATACGAGCCTCCATACATTGATAACGTTTTATTATATCACAAACAATGGTAGCGTTACCCAACTGCACGATGTCCACATGATCGTTCTGCCTGCGGACAATTCTTGCCGTTCATAACAATATTAAACCTCACCGGACATCATCGGCGGTCCTGCACTGACGTGAACGGCTGGAGTGAGTGTCGATAATAATCACGCAGTGTACATAAATTCTTCATGGCTTTTGATATCATTGAAATCTATTGGCAGACATAGTTTCCTATTTTTTTCTTTTTCTCAGCCTGATCCTACTTTCTCCTGTCTACTTTTTTATTTTCGCTCTCCCGTAGCTCGGTAGACAGGCAGGCAAAGCAACTCCAGCTGCTCCCGATTGAAAAACTGCTCCTTCGGGGATACCAGTCATTATGCCCGAAACTGCGGTTAGTTACTCATAAGCAGTGTCGGTGCCGCCGGCATCGCCGTCTACGACTGAAAGGGGCAAATATTTAAAGGCTCAGATCACTGCTCCTTTTCGATCTCGATTACCCTCACCGCTTCTGTTAAATGTTGTATAGTATACATGTGACTGAGGAGAAAGCATAGATAGATGATAGTGGAGCCACACTGGCGATCAGCCCCCAGAGCGCTGTTTATGGGCTGTCTACTCTGCAATTGAAAAGTTTGTACCGAGTTCCGCCGTAGGTGAATTTCCAGTTAGATCCTCTTTGATTTCCACACCTGATTTCCACCAATAACTACGTTAGCAAAGAGGTGAAAAATTTAGGAAGTATAGAAAGTGGGTCTGAAACGAGCCAAATCCTGTGGCATCAGGTGCCTTTGCTTGCTTGGGCAAATGTTTGCTTGCTAAGATTGTGACACGGTGACTTGGCAGCACAGGAGCTATATGGGAAACTTACGAAACGTAGGCTGGCTCCGTACACAGTAAGGCTTAACGTGGCTGGCGCTATTCCTGCTTTCGTCAGACTCGTTGAATATTAGAATTATATTAGATGATGAGTGTTAAACAGGTAACCGGCGAATGAATGAACTATCTCGGTCAGAGTAGGCTCTAATCCAGACTTCTCAGATTTGTGGTGCTCATTGCGTATCGCACTTGAAAGAACTAAAGGGCCCACCGACATATCGTATTCGCGGTGTCTAAAAGTCCCGTTTTCTTATTTCTTATTGTTGTCTCGACCGCTGCTCCATCCACTCCCTTTTCTAGGACTTAGCCGCTTTTCCACGCGGCAACGGATTAATCAAAGCCACGGTGTCCTCTTCGAACTTGTTATGTTCAGTGATTCCTCTCAGTTTCCCTCTTCTGTTAAATTGCATTAGTGTAAATCATATGTCACCCTGTAAACCTCAGCAGACCGCCTGGAGATGATCCTCGGGCTGGCCTACCTAGTCTCCTAGCTGATCGATGTTTGTCAGCGACTGTCTTACCTTTCTCACATACACCGACTAATGGCATGCTTCTTGCGCTTTTGTCAAAGTCCAATAAAGTGATCAAGACCTGATTTCGTCAGGCCAGGTCGAAACCTATACTTCTGCAAGAGGGTGCGATTGTCCCGGCTACAATACTAGCAACAGCGTTGAGCTGCCTTGCTGCGAGAAAGATCTCCGTGAGAATGTCTAGCTTCAAACGTAAAGTCGGCTTATAATGCCGCTCGTTCTTTTAGCCATTACCGGAATCAAACCAGCAATGCTGTGACAAAATAGGGTTTATAGAAGAAGGAGAACATACGCATACAGGGATGAGTACTTAGTTGAAATTGACGGACTTACCGCGATTAGCTGATAGGATATAATGTGACATGAACAGCTAGTGTTCACTAGGTATATCGGCATTCAATATGTGACTGGGCTATGCCCTAGTCACATACTGAATGGCAGGTAAGGGTTCGCCAGCGCTGACTCTGTAATGTAATTTACTAATCAATCAGATCCAATGATAAATTGCGAATCGAGACGGCAATAACCAACGAAAGCAAGGGCCAGCTGTTCGTAGTCATGCCTACACGCGTGCTTATATGCTATGTTTAAGGATCCCTGTTATGCATGAGTCCTTCAAGGTGGTCAGCCGATCAGCGATCAAAGAAAGGCGTTAATGAGCAACCTTCCGAATGAAAGTTTTTTCGTTGAATTTATTATTAATTGGAGTGAAGAAAAACAATACCAAAAACATCAATCATTTGTTATACAACAGTTAGACTGATATGCGGATACATGGATTTGTTAGCACAACTGCAGCGTATTGATGGAGTTCATTATACAGATGATTAGATAGAGGCAGTGTACTGCTATCAAAAGCCAAAAGAACTCGCTTTTTTGTTTTATTTTTATAAGTCAATTTCTATAGATAAACAACAGCCATGTTTGAGTTTATTTGTGCTGTTTTAAGGAGGCTGTACAGACCCCTTTACGCTGTCGTCCTACCAACGATAATCATTTCAACGAGCATAACCGTGCTTATAACAGAGACTCTAGTCACAATTTATCGATGCATTTACATTTAAGGGGCAAATATGATAATAATCAACACCTTGCTTTGCACAAATCGAAGTTGCCCTTATCAGTCAGCGTACGGTTGCGCACCCCAATACAAACAAGTGTTCGAAACAACGATCTATTATTTTACACTCGATTTTCGACATCGATCGAATCTTACGCTTCGGTAACCAGAGCAACTGCTTTCGCGACAATATGTTTGGGGCACTTTTGGACCGTTCAGCTTATACAAATTCAGGGCTACCCAGTGCCTAAAGGTACGCTCGTGTTATGCTATTTTAATCCAGCATCCAGTTATTTCACAGTTGGCGTCCTAATTACCCAATACGTAATCCAATTATTAAATCG